TAAAAATATACAATTATGTTTAAAATTGACAAAATTAGAAATTTTACAAGCATCACTTAGTTGCCACTATTACAGTATTACTTCTATAGTTTATATTTTATAAATATTTTTAACTTATAAATGCTATTTTATAGTTGAATAAATTAAAATATATTTATTAGTATTTTTACAAGTTTTTAAAATTACCGCCAAAATGACGAAGGAGATTATAGTTAGAATGGGATCTAAGGTGAACGGACACCTAGATCCCCGTCATATTAGATCCCCGTGATCTAAATGACACAACGGGATCTAATTGACAGGGGATCTAAATAACCATAGGGAACTAGTTGACACCATCCTAGTTGGGGATCTAAATTACCCATTTGGCGTTTAGATCACCCTTGACCTACTAGATACCCCTTCTGTGGCGGTAATTTAAAATAACATTATAAATTATATTAAACTTATTTTATACTAAACGTATTGTTTTTTTCTCTAACATTTAACAAATGATTAATTTAATTTGAATATAATGTATCATAAATCATAATATTAAGTATTACATTACATTAATATTATAATACTCATAAGTCATAACTCATGAATTATTCATAAGAGACAAGAGTCATAAGACTAGGTATAATAAAGAATAGTTTGTAAATTCAAATTTTTTTTATTATTTAAATTAATGCTTGAAAATCAAGGTTACTCACCTCTCTTTAAGTATTAATATCACACACAACTATAACGAATCGCATAAAAAAATAATTAATTTAATGGATCAATTATGGACCACGAAATCATGATCAAAAGTTAGTTATCTCACTACTGACTCATTAAAATGTTTAGTAATTATTCATGCTGCAACACGGTGTGTTAGACTATATGTCTATATAATTTATACAACCAGAATGGATATTGAGTGACGAAGGGTATGAAAATTTTACATTTGAAGTTTATATTTTGTTTACAACTTTAGTTTCAGATAGGAATAATTTTATTATTTTAATAACTTAGTCCAGTTACTTTTAGCATTGATTATATAATTATATAATTGTATTCTACTATTAAAAACCATGATGATGCACTAAATCTTCAAGCAAACTTAAATAAGTTTAGTTTTTGGTGTGAACAAAATAAATTACCAATTAATATTAATAAATGTAATGCTATTTCTTTCACTAAAAAAAAATATCCTATAATTTTTAACTATCAAATGTATAATATATTAATATTAACAGAGTTGAATCAGTTAGAGATTTGGGTGTTCTCTTTAATAATAATTTATCTTTCTCTATGAATACAAACATGGTTATAAATAAATGTTGGGCTTTATTTTACGAAATACTAGGGAATTTAAAAATGTATTTACATTAAATAGGTATGCTCTATTGTTCTCTTGTTAGGTCACATACAGAATTCAGTTCAATAATCTGGGCTCAAAATTGTACTGATAAATTGATTCAGAATGTTCAGTATAAATTCCTCAAGTCTATATAGCGTTTCGTTTAAACTTACCTATTTCTAGAGAATCATATTCATTAGTAGCTAATTCTATTTATATTCAGCCTTGTGAGGTCAGGCGTAAGTTATCTGACGTCCTATTTATTTATGATCTTCTAAATAATAATATTGATTGTCCTGATTTATTAAATAAAATTGGTTTTTGTACTCATAGACCATAGTTATTCGTTTAGAAATTCTTGTTTATTTTTTGTACCTTATTATAAAAAAAAATATGTACAGATTCATTTTTTCCTAGAGCATTATTATTATGTAATTCAATTTGTAATGAAGTCGATTTCTTTTTTATGTCTCGTGAATCTTTTAAAACAAAAGCTTTATACCTACTATCTATTTCAAATTTATTTATTTTATATATGTATATATTTTTTGTGATTATTCACCTTCAAACTGTATTAATTATTTTGTATATGTATGGTTGTTTCTAGATTATTATGTACTTAATCTTATGTAAAGGGCTTGTCCCGTTAAACCTAATAATAAATAAATAAATAAATAATAAATAAAATATATAATCAAACATATACAGTAGAATCCGCTTAAAGGGGACGCCACTTAAAGGAGACACCCGCTAATTAATGGGGACATTAATGACAGTCCCGAATGAATGTCTTGTATGTAAAATTCTTCGGTTAATCGGGACAGTCGGGATAATGGGGACAAATAGGCCACCGCCCGAAGTGTCCCAATTAAGCGGATTCGACTGTATATATAATCAATGCTTTTAGCAACTAAGCAACTGACGTATTGCGCGGACTTGAACCAAACCGAGAAATTCTTTCCTGCGAAGATCCCTTCGTTTATTTCCAACTGTTTTCATCGGAAACCGATGAATATACGTTGGACTGTTGGAGGCAGTGGCGTATATAGGGGGTGGACATAGTGGGCTGCAGCCCACCCCAAAATTACAGTCTTTTTAAATAGAACAACAATATATTTTATTAGGTACTATTAAAAGTTATAATATTTCATAGTCTGTTGAAAAATAACAAATAAGAATATATTTATAGAAACTTTTAAATCTATAGTAGACAGTAGCTTCTAAGTAATATATCACTTGCTAGTTGCTATCTATTATAGCCCACCCTAACAAATATTTCTATATACGCCACTGGTTGGAGGTAACAATTTATAACCTTACCTCCAAATAACAACCGTTATCTCTTATGCACAACCTATCACTAATTTATTTCAATTTGTTTATAGGCTATATATTAATATATTATATTATATCATGACGAAGTGTCGAAGTAAGTTTGGTCATATTCATGATTTCATGAATCATTAGTTTCGACAAATTATAATGGTCTCATTGACCACGACTGTAGACTACCTACTCTCTTATGATGATATTGACTATGTTCACAAAATGTCAAGTCAGTCTGGGTGTTCTTATCGGTCCTATATTGGATTATATAAACAAACTACATTTAAAAAACAGAACCTAATTATTTTTTTCTTATTATTTTAATACAATTTTAAATTGATTGAGGTACGAAAAATGTTCTTTAACGGGAACTAGGAAGAAGAAACAATTTAAGTAGTTCCTTTTTAACAAAACGTGAACTTTCAAACCTTCAACGTGCTGGTCTCATCTGTCCATAAGAAATAAAATGGTGACAATGCGACATGTAAGTAGGTAAATAAGCCTATTGTAAATTATAACATAATCTTCTATAACGGAAACTTACTGCTAAATACTACCTATTATATTGTAATGTCTACTTGTAGACTGTAATCCTTTATTTCAGTCATTTCAAAAGTAAGTTTTGCATTTTAATTTTAATACCTAATAATTACTATAATTTAACTAAAAACTTCTTAATAACTATTATTAGGTTGACTAGTGGACTGTTGTAACTTGTAGTAAGTAGTAACAGTGATACAGTATAGTAGATATATAGACATAGATATATAGACTGAGTAGTATTTTCTATAAATAAATATGGTAGTTTATTGTATCTATTCTGTGGTTTAGACTTGTAAAGTATTTGTAAATTATATTTAATCACATCTGATTATAATCACAATTGATAATGAACACATAATTGGTAACAATTTTAATTTCAATGTAGGTACTTGCAGTATACCTACCTATAATATGTTACTTATATTAATATAATATATCAAGAAAATGTGTTAAACTTACTCAAAACAGTCAAAACCCAAGTTAAATTGAAATGTATGTCATACCAAGAAAATTAGTTTAATTTTGTTTAATTTGTTAAAAAATAAAAAGTGAAAGTAGGTTCATGGCTAGTTGATATTTAATTGATAAAATAAATAATTAATTATAATTTTCAAGTTAATATATAGTAGATTTCTATTCCAGCTCTACAAAGTGGACAGCGGTAATATGGCCTATGCTCATTCGGAGGCATCCTTGAATAACTTTCATGACAAGCTTCACATAGGCCTTGGTGTAGGCATGGATACGCTACCACTGTTGGTGGACTGTACAAACATATGTAACACGTTTCCTCTTCTATTGGTATAACTTTAAAATAATAAAACATCATTATTTTTAATCAATTACTTTACCTAGAAACAAATTTCAGATAATTACTACTTACTTGTCAAATCTGCACGTTCAATGTAAATAACTGATGGACTGTTCGCAGACTGTTCGGTAGACACATCTTCATCTGAATAATCTGCATCGGCATCAAGATTATAAAAAACTAAAGACAAGTGATTTATTTATTAGTATATTTTATTGGAAATCTGTATCAGTAATATTATAATGAAAAATCATACGATCTCGAGGAACGTGCACTGCTGGTCTAGGTGGTAAAATCCTTCTCATTATTTCTTCACGAATCAGTTCCTGATGCTGATCATCGTGCAGTGGTAATAAAGCTGGTTGATTTTCTTGTAATGGTGCCTGTAGTAAAGCAGTAGCAGGGAGCACAGGAATAGCTTGAGGTTGTATGTCCTGCTGATCAACGGGGAGTGGTAATGGAGCTTGTGGAAAGACAGCAGCAGGTACTACAATAGCTTGGTGTTGAGGCCGTATTACACCAAAAGTTGGTGTTGAATGCCTAGCGCATATTAAAAACTCCAACATTGAGTAGCGTTGTTCTGTAAGCAGCCTCAAGGATCTATCTAAATTCCTTTGCTGATCTATCCAAACTTGCCGTTGAGGTTGTCTTACTTGACCACCATCAGTAGCCTCATTATAATCGTTCAAAACACCATTTGAGTAAGTAATTAGCCCCTCTGTAAATATAAAATACTGATATATTCCTTTTCTAGTGTTAAATAAATAAAAATATAATTACTCAAAAACACCCATGGCTCAGGATTGTGCCGATTTTGCATGTGCATTTGGAGATGTTGGTGACTTACTTCCATCACATTGTTAGTACGCCAAACGGTGTCACTCACCGACAATATATCTGCGTTTATTCCTATTGGCAATGGTGTAGGGTTAGTTATAAATTTGTTTAGTTGTATGAATAAGAAATATTATATTAAAACTATTATTTTGTATTTTACAGACCTGCAAGCCATGTTGATCTATAATATTCAAATAATAATGTAAAATTGTAATCATTATTATTGCTAATCAATGATTGCACATTCTCAATATAGTATGCCCTTACAGTTTCAAAACCTTCAGCTATACTATTTGTCGGCAGCAAAGGCAATGCCATCAACATATGCACTGTGTCATAGGCTCCTCGATGGTTACTACATATTTCAATCAATCCTAAATATTAACCAGTGTTATTAATTGACTATACATTTCATTTATTATTAATTACAAAATTCAGATTTTAGAGTAATCTTACCTATGTTTGCAACTTTTCTCCATACCGCTTGGGAGGAATGAAACCAACAGCCTCTAATAGTGGTATTTGGGAACATTGTTCTTATAGCAGCAATAGCTGCCCTTTCAAAATCAACTATTATGGTTTGAGGTTGCCACTCTGGTACTATACTTAAAACCTTATTGAAAAGCGTCGTGTATGCCCTTTCCGTTTTCCTCGACATCAATGCAAAACCTATAGGAAATCCCTGAAAAAAATATTTTTATAAATAGATTTTAAAAAAAATAACTTAAAATAATCTAATTAGTAAAACAGTTATTTTATAATTTAATAGTATTTATTTACAAATTACATACAAAACTTACAGTATTAAATGTTATGCCCATTATGATATATAATTGGTGGCATTCGTTTCCAAAACTTGGTGAACTAGAAAATGTGCCATCCAACAAAAAAGTTGAACCAGTCCTAAGTAAACTAAATTAATTGTATAATAAGACAGTGCCTATATGTAATTATTATTTATTTGAAATGAAGTTTATTATATTTTATAGTTATATACTTTTTGATTCCAGGCAAAATGAAAAGTAAAGTGGTTCCTTCTTCTGGAGTTGCACCAACAATGCCAGAGTATATTGTTTCATTTTGTATCATAGACAAGTGCGCATATTCTCCTGTTAATTGTAAGTGGAATTCAGTCATAGACTGAGGAGTGACTGGATGAATTCGACGCCTATGTCTACGCATTGTTCTATGCAGTGAGACAAATGAACCGACATGAACATTTACAAAATCTGCCATACCGCATGTCTTAAAATGTATTTTCATATTCAAATTTAAAAATTTAATGTACAAATGTATTTACCAAAAAAAAATATATTAGTGTTTTGTATATAGAAATGATGTAAAACTCTTAATAGGTATGTTTATACATAAAGTGAGTCAATAAATTACATTTTACTTTTTGATTTAATATTTAGTAACAATATTATTTATATACTTTATTGTAGATGAGACGGAGAGAAATTTGATCATTCTGTGTCCTCTGTTTACAAATATTAATTAATTATAAAAATATTAAATGTATACTAGGTGACATATATAGTATAATTTATTTACTATATATCGTTAAATAAATCAGGAGCATTAAATAAACACAAATTATCAATAGGATGTCAGCTAGCGCAATATTTGTTTTCTCTCACAGACTGACGTGCAACGTATATAAAAAGTCATGGAAAACCATTTTTTTATGATATTTGAATAACCTATTATTACTATAGTATATTTAATATTGTGTAGCAACTGGCAAGGGCGGAAAGTGAGCTTTTTGAAAATTGCCTTCCCTTACGAGCCACAACTATTTTTTGTCAAACCTCTGCGTTAATCGATCAGTGTCTGCTTAGGGAGTTTACCAATTGCACTTCAAATGACCACATTTTGGGATTTCCACTTTACCGCCCGAAAAGGTCACTTTCCGCTTCAACTGTCATCAAAAACTAAACTTTCGGTGCAGACGTGACAAAAAAATTATAATGTCTGTTTTATATTTTATTATTATTTTACTGAAAAATAGGCATAACATTTAAATGGTTATACTTATTGAATTGTTTTGATTTTTGAGACAATATATTTGGGCAAATATTTGTCATACACTTATTCTCTATAATTTTTGGGATGTGTGATTTTAATCAAGATAACTCAAAAACAAAAAAAAAAATTATTTTATGTGAATGCCTCTTCTTTATTTTGCACGTGGGCCAGAGAGAAAATAAACAGTACGCTTACATCATCTTAAATGCATACCTATTAAAAATCACGCCATAATATTTACATTTCATACCTACATTTTCAGGACAAAACACTTATGTATCAAAACAATCTAAAAAAAGTATCGTATAATAATACTTTTCAATTAACTTCCTTGCTATATAATTGGTGTTTGTAATTATAATAAATATATAGGTAACTTACTTCGTTATAAATGACACGAAGTGATATTTGTTCAGCCTGTGCCCGTTGATTACAAATATTTTTGAATCTATTTAATGCCAATTGATTTTCTGGATGAGTTTCGTGGCCTGTCGTCAAAAAAACTTTCGAAGTGTCGCTATTAAAAACTTTGCCTTTTGCACGACAACTAAAAAAGAAAATAATATTTAAAATATAAACATATATAGGTTCCTCTACTAATAATAAATTACTAAATTACATAATACCTATGGTATACACTATTACTTAATAACACAACCATTTAGAATAAAATCTACTAGTACAGCAAGATCACTGCAGTACTAACCATGGTCAGCAAAATTTCATTATTTTAAATCTATACCTGCAGTAGCCTGGATGACAATGAGGTGAAAAGACAAAAAAATTCTTAAATCGAATTTATGACTTCTAAATCTTTAAATATTTTAATGTAAAGAAAAGAAAGGTAGGTAATTTTTTATAATGAAATATAGGTGATTGTTTAAAATTATAAAATTTACCCAGCTCTCCAGGATGCACAACGAATAGTTAAGTGCATTCGACATTGTCGATTTTTCCAATAAGTATATCCATCGTCGTCTTTGTATTTAAGTCCTGTGCCTCTCGAACCACCAATCTCACGAATAACTTTCTCCATTTAATTAAATTATCGTGTTTTATAATTTATTTTGAAAATATTATAAACACTAATAACGCATACTATACGGCATCAATCACTCGTAACATACATAACTGTAATGATTGACGAACGATGGAATAATGAGGGTTATTAAAATCTAACAAAATTTAATAATATTATTAATCTGGAAAAATGTGTAGCTATCTTGATTCTTGAATACTGAATACCAGAATACTACAAATTTAACTTCTAAGATATTCAGTCATTTAGTATTTAATATTTATTGAACGAATTAAGATACCTATTACAACTTAATAAGTATTTTAAAGCTTCGGATTTACTGATTTACGGAAAACTAGAATGTTTTTTTCTCTGTAATTATTTTAGTTTCTGCGTATTTTTAATTGTTTCGTGTCTGTGTAAGTGATAAGTAGGGCTCGGATTTTATAGCAGTATTAATAATAAAAAAAGGATACAATTGTTTGGAAAAAGTAAAAAAAAGCATGACTAAAAATTAACTTAAACTAGGTATACGATTGAATAAAAAAAATTAAAAAAAAAATTTTACCATGTATTTTTGCTAGATTTGCCACGAAAACAATAATAATCCAATAGGCAATAACCATTTAGTCCGTATTCCAGGTTTTTACATGTCTTATTAATTAAATTTATTTTATTTTATAACTATATGTATAGCATAATAAACATATAAAAAGGGGGCAAGTGGGTATGCTCTGCTGTACAGTAGGTTACAAGTGGGTCACTATAATGGATGGTGTTAAATTTGAATTCAATGACATAATATCATTGTATAAGAAAAACGATTCTAAAAGCAGAGTCAGCCAATGATATATTGATATTACCAAGTATATTTGATGATATTATTGTGAGTAAAATAATTTATATAGGTACAACCTATTTACGTGGAACCTTGTTTTAAATTATCGATCCTTAGCTATAAAAGTTGAACATTTTATACATTTTTAACTAGGCATAAAATAATTATTAAATTTTAAATTTGATAAATTTTGTCAACATTTGAACTTAAAATGCTTAAGAAAAAATATTATAAGATATTTATAGAGAAAAAAACCAAAAAAATTATAATTATCGATTGTCCGTTAATAACTCAAGTATAGGAATCGATAAAATAAACATATGATATAAATTTCAAGAGTCTACGGCATAGGCGCAAATTGGGGGGGCTTGGGGGTGCTAAGCCCCCCAAATTTAGCCATAGCCCCCCCAAAAATCTAGAACATACAATTTTAATATGCTATATTGCAATGGTCTGCTTACCTTTAATATATTCAGCCCCCCCAAGCCAAAAGTTGAAATTGCGCCTATGGTCTACGGTTATTCATTTTTGAATTACAACAAAATAAGAAAATCACCACAAATCGAGTGAATATCTAATGTTATAAAAATATAAACTTCAAAGTCATTCATAAAAATTTAATTTGGCTTTCTTATAGACATTTTTACACCTTTAAATTTTAATATTTTTGAACTGCTATTATTACAACTTCTGAGGTTTTTAATTTAAAAATTTGAAATTTAAAATTACAATTTTTTGTCGACAATAATTTTAAAAACCAATAAATATAAAACATTTCTTTTGCCCATTATAAATAGCTCAAAAAGAGTCAAATTTCTTTGAACATTTTCAGTACATAGAAAATGCTATAGGATATCAATCCGTGAAAAACAATAATCTACAGTTATTTTTTTTAGTTAACCCTAAAAAACAAAACCGATTTTGTCAAAAACTAGTTTTGCGTAAAAATTCCCGTTTTCCTAAATAAATATAATTCTATTTGTTTTTTCGACGTTCTTGAAAACTATTGGGAATTTTTAATGTTGACCTCTCAAATGCAGCCGTAGAAAGATGCCGAAATTAATAATCGAAGCATTATTTCGACTTCTTACCGTACAACTGTAATCTATAGAAACTACAATAAAAAAGAAACACACACATAATTGCAAAATCTTTTGATTTGGCTATGTATTCATTTATCGCGCCGCTCGGCACTCATAAATATGAATGCATTGAAAAGGTACGAATATTTAATCATATTGAATTAAAAACGTAATTTCGATCGTCGAACACCTGTCGAGATACCTACGTAACACATAATAATAATATGTATGATGTACCTAATAAGTCTCCAACAATAAAGTTTTTAAATGGAAAAAAATAAAACTTTCATTAAGGCGATAGACAATAAAACCTTAGAACCATAGGTAATACATTTTGAAAGATTTGTGCTTTTACCATTTCAAAAGTTCGAAAAATATTGAATTGATTTAACAAAGTAATAAATTATTTATCGCCTAAATTTAAAATGTTATTTCTTCAAATATACATTGAATATAATTATATTATAAATACATAATATTGTCATGCTAGAAATATATAATATACTAGACAAACATAATATCTCAACAACAACTATAATATGAATTAATAATTTTACGAGTTGATTTATACAAAAATTACATGAGATTATAATATATTACTATCATACAGTGGCGTATATAGAAATAACTTTTGAGGTGGGTTATGGTAGATAGAAACTAGCAAGTGATCTATTACTTAGAGGCTAGTGGCTACTGACCGATAAGAACACCCAGATTGACTTGACATTAATTTGTGAACATATAGTCAATATCATCATAAGAGAGTAGTCTACAGCAGTCGTGGTCAATGAGACCATTATAATTTGTCGAAACTCATGATTCATGAAATCATGAATATGACCAAACTTACTTCGACACTTCGTCATGATATAATATAGCCTATGAACTAAATAAATTGAAATAAATTAGTGATAGGTTGTGCATAAGAGATAACCGTTGTTATTTGGAGGTCAGGTTATAAATTGTTACCTCCAAGTATCATATACTTGGATCAATATACCAGAGTTTAAACTGGTCTCACAATAACATATTATATTATAGTGTAGGAGTTGTGTTTAAAGAAAAAACACAAAATTGAAGATTTTTAAATATACATAACTATACCTTTTAATAACCACAGGTATTTGTATTATAGTAGGTAGGTATTGGTTTAATGTTTACCTACTGAAAACATTGCATTTATTATACAATTTTATTATACTATGAATATTAATAGTGAATTGTTGTTATTTACACTTATTATTGTGTTAATAACTAGTGAAATGTTTTAATGTTTTAATGATATTAATTAAGTATAGAAAAATGTTTTAAATATAAACATGTCAAGGAAATAGCTCAAAAAGAAACAACACAAATTATAGCATGTAATGAAAATGCTACTATAAACATTTGGTAAAAATTTAAAGTATCTAGTTACGATTATCCGATTTTGAATTAAAACAAAAGATCAAAAATGTTATTTCAAGCTTGAATAATCCTAATTCGTCAAACTTCAGAGAACTTTTAACTTCGTAAAAAATATTTCTGGAATTACGCTCAACTTTTAATTTTAATTCCAGTAGGTATTATTAAAAACTTATGAGGAACCTTGTATTAGGTTTTTAAGCTTTTTGATATAACATGCAATTTTTGTCGACAGTAATTTTTTAAAAAACTAATAAAAATCGATATTTTCTTATGCCTATTTATAGCTAAAAAACCATCAAAATATTTTAAAATGTACTTATCTATGTACATTGTACCTATACCTACCTAATGATTATAACATTTTTATTTTTTTCATAATATTTACATTAATACATGGCCTGAAATTATTTTTTGCCCACAGTATTAAGTATTAATATCTATATTATATAGATTAAATTAGAGAATACAATACAACGAAATATTCTGTACCGTCACAATTTTTATTTTTTTTCAATTACACAGTTATCAATTTAGTTTATCGATTATAACCGTATAGATATATTATATTATAATTTATAATATGCTTAAAACAGATACTCGTATAATAATAAAATTAATTATTCTGTACTACAGATATCATATTTTGATACAATAAAAGTTATCATGAATAATCTCAAAATCGGGACCAAACACAAGTTTTCATGTAATTAAGTGGACATTAATAAATAATAATTAATACTTAATACGTAGCTAATACTAGTTATAACTAATAAGTATCAAGTAATAACTGATAAGTGATTAACTGTTAAATAATATAGTTTATAAATGCCCGTATGCATAGTAATTTACCAAAATCCATTAAGTGATTGCAACTTTTCTCAAAATGGATTGTATTTATAATAATATATTAATATATAACACCGGATTGCCAGAATAATGGGGAAGAAATTAATTGTTCTTATGAGTTGTTATTTTATATTAGTAAATTCCGACCTTCCGTAGGTGTAGAACAGAGATAATAGGTTAGCGGCAGTGCTCAAGCGTTCAAATGAACTATTTCCAGTGATTTCGTTCAATTTTCAGTAACTTAACAGGGACTTAGGGTAGTTACTTTTTCATGTGAAGGAACATATCAGAATTTCGCTCATTTTTTAGTGAAACATGAACAATTATATTTTTTATACATATTAAGTATAGGAATTTTAATAATATTTAGAGCAAAAGTTTTTATATTTTTTTTTTTTAGAAAATTAATTAATATAATGATTAATAAGCTATTATATTAATATACGACAATAATAAATATATTCATATTAATATACGATAATATTAACAATGTTTACATAATTTCAAGTCAGTCACTGTGGTCTTATCGGTGTTAATTTGGATTTGCCTAATAAATAACCCCAGAAAAAATAACCCCGGAAAAAATAACCCCGAAAAAAAAAACCCCGAAAAAATAACCCCGTGAAAAAATAACCACGGAAAAAATAACCAAAATAACTATAATATAATTGATTTGTAAGGTTGTACATGCAGGCCTAAAACAAATTGTCAAATTTTTAAAAATATTCACCATAAATGGGTAGGTAATACAATACAATTTCAATAATATAATAATAATTTAAAACAAATTGTCAAACGTTTTTAATCTCTTTTGAGCAGTTTTTGATTTAGAACATTTAGTTTTG